TTCTTGAGATATGGTAGCTATGCAACTTTGCTACTATTGAATTGTTTTCTAGAGAAATCAATAGGTGCTTATACAAATAAATATTTCTATACAGAATGAAGGCGATATAAAAAATATTGATAGGCAGACAGCTTTAAGTACAGCAAATACACAAAAAAAAACAAAAATCAAATGCAAAGAGGACAAACACACCTATATATATATATATATATATATATATATATATATATATATATATATCTCCACACACACGAATTTAATTAGGAAAAAAAAAAAAAAGCTTGTGTAATGTTAACATGTGTACTGTAAAGACTGTTTGACAACACAGTAGCAGCAGCTTTAGAGTAGCAGCAGCAGTCTTAACATTTCTGCTTAACATAAATAACATGACATAAAAAGGCATCTAATCTTTCACCTTGTAATTAAGCAAAATAAATCATTAAAAAAAATTAATAAACCATACAAATATCGGAAGTAAAAGGGCTAAAAATGAAAAATAGGAAAAGAAAAAAGCTGATGCCTAAGAGTTAAAGTGGATAAAAAGAAAGAAAAAAGTACTTGGTGAATGCCTATTGAAAGTGGCAATTTTATACATGTATAATGATCAAACATGCACAGACTAGCAGATATAGAAGCAGAATAAAAGAGTCAAGCAGTAAGCCTGTTGCCATGAGACAGTGATGAAATAGCTTGCAGATCAAGTCTTGAATCTATTCACTTTACATAGAGTTAATTATTCAAATATGTTCAAGATTATAACAACATAGCAGAAGAATGGAAACTGTCAGTATACTTTCTTCACTGAAACAAATTTATATTGGTATATTTAACAGCTTTGATTAATTAAGTTTACAACATTTTGTCACTTCAAACTTTCAGATGTGAATAATAGAATAGAAAATAATTTTAAAAAAAATCTTTTTCACCAGTTTTATGATTTATAGAATCAACAAATTTATTGGAAATATATATATGGAAATATGTATGTATGTATGTATGTATGTATGTATGTATCTGTGAGAATTTTTAACATACCACTGATACATGTAAGACTCCAATAAATAAGCAGATTCATTCTTTTGTAACCATTTATGAACTTGCAGACTGATGGAATATATTCTTGTCCATTCTCCCATAAGAAATTTGGTTTCAAATAATTACAGACTATTGGTACCATGTTAAACAAGTAGGTTCTTTGACCAGCTTGCTCAAGTACAGTGCTCAGTGAAAAATCTGTTGTACTCACTTAACCTAGCAAGTGTTGCATAATGACAAAAGTAATTGTTAATAAGGAGTTTTTGTTTTTTTAACTTTCTTTGCTAGAGCCAACCATTTAAAGTTTACAAAGACTCAATTTTAAGCTACTAACAGGACCATATTTTTAGCCTTGAATTTTAAAAAGCTCCAATAACTATAAAACTGTAAGATAAAAACAGGCCTGTTTAAATTTTTTTCATATTTTTAAAATAAATTAAGGACATGTGCATAAGAGAGAAAGCTCCATATGTTAGCCATCAAATCATTCCTCTAATGAATAAGCCAAACCTGAAGGTATACTATATATGCGCGTGTGGCTTGTAAAGTTTCATATTTAATTTTTCAGGTTAATTGTGTAATTAGTCAAGACTATTTTTTAAGGCATTTTTTTTTATCTTTATGCAAAAAAGCCCACCTAAAAAGAAACGAAAAGTTTCTTCTTTAGACTCTTGGCAAATTTCAAGAGACAGTCCTTATTATTAATAAAAAAAAAATTACAAGTAGTCACTCAATTGATTGCATTTAATTGAATGATTTATTTCTCTTGGTGGAATTATCTAAATTTTGATCAGATTATTTGTAATGCTAACAAGCTAATCACCAACAAGAAAAATCCAGTCTCATTAGCCAAACTAGTAAAAGTTAATAGGATATTTTAATAGACAAATGTATTATAATTATACAAAAGTACTGTTTAATGGTTAGAAAGATTTGGTCAAGGCCAAATCCTGTTTTGTAGCTGTGTCAAGCTTTGAAAGTAACTTCTCATAGTACCTTTGTTTTATAATTTTATAAATGGTTTGTGTAACAATAGTTGGAAAGAATTTGTTTTGACAAAAATTTAAAAAAAAATACAATAGCTTATCAATAAATTACACCCCACAGATAAAAATATCAACCCATATTTTATATCTTAATGATTTAAAAAAAATAAATAAATAAAATAAAAGTAATCTGTTCAAAAGTTGGTCCTACTTTAAAACATTCGAATAATTATCACTTGAAATTTGTGTTTTAGTCCATAACAGATTTATTTCATATCAAAATTTTTTGTATTAAACTGGTCTTTTCACCTACTCTCAGTTGACAATCGATTGCTGTTCAATCAACAACACTTCTAAAAGGAAATTTTCAAGTACAAGTTATCATGGAAAAAAATAGGTACTTACAAAAAAAGAATACTCACTGAGGGAAAAATTTAGTTGATACAAACATTTAGATAATAGATCATATGTCAATATGAAATTAAATATTTCAATTTTTTCTCTTAACTGACTTTAAGAGAAGTTTCATTAAAATCTCAATTCTCTTTGACTCATTAAAAATATAGACAAACATTACATTGGAAAAAAAATTAATCTATTTACCATAAAAATTTATTTTACCAGGAAAAAAAGAAGTAAGACAATTTAAGAAGTAAATGATTATTATAAAAATGTTTATGAATTTATAGAGCTTCTAAATATTAGTCTTATATAATTTTTAAGAAAGAGGATGAGAGTAAAATCATTGTAAAAGGAGTTTCAATTGTAAATATTTGTCATAATTTTTTTCCATCAGAAGATATTTTAAATCTTGTTTAAATTACTTTATAAATTGAAATATATATATATATATATATATGAGGAAATAGCATTTAAAGATTTAAAAATTTCTAGCTTAGTTGATAATTATTTTATGACAACTATTTCAAAATTAATTTATGAAAATAAACCAAATTTGTGTTAGGAAAAAGAAAAACAGCAACAGAAATTGGCACTGAACAGCCATCACATTTCAGACATGCTATTTTCCCGACTTCTGCTCTTCAAATGGAACTGAGTGTTAAGACTATTGTCTTGTCTCTTGCTTCAACAACAGTGTATGTAACATCACGATGGCACAATCATCATCATCATGAACAGATAATAAACAGTTACATATTACAACACTGACTACAGAAAAATAAATAGCTAAACAGGTGCATATTATACTACTAGACAAAAATCTAAGTGTCAGTGAATTATATGGGAAAATTTTTTTTCCAGGTTGTTATGGATTAAAATGGAAACAAGAATGAATAGATATTTTTCAGTTACTAATTCAATTTTAAGTATTTTACTTTTACATTAGGGGCAGGAAGTAATCTTGCTTTAGGAAGATATATATATATATATATATATATATATATAGATAATATACAGATAAATATATTTAAGTAAGGTTTTATAAAATTTAAGAAGTACCTTTAACAAGTCAGAAAAAAAGATAAAGAGAAAAACTTAATGTGTTCTACATGCGTTTCCAGATTTCTAAGTTACTTTATTGTTGCTGTCTCATAAAAATGATTGGATCAAGTGTCTTATCAGCAATAAGAGCTTAAAGTAGAAAGAGAAGAAATAAAATACTTGCATGAAGGGGGGGAGGTGCTGAAAAGTGATCAGGTCAACCCACTTAAAATCTAACCAAACATCAATATTTTGTAATGCCTTCTTAGTCAAGCCCAAGACTTTTCAGCACCTTCTCATATACAGAAAAGTAGACATTTTTGTAAGTGTAGAAGCATAAAGGTACTCTTTTCAAACATACTGAAAAGTGTTTTGCATCAAAATCCTTTAGAAAAGATTTTTATAAATATAATTTGTAAATAAATTTACAAAGTTATAAGTGATGACATTTATTTTAAGGCATTTTGAGTACTTTCTGTACAAGACACACAAAATGGTGTTGTCTACTGAGAATGCATCATGTCTGTGCATATACAGATATGTACACAAGCATCAACGATATATATTATACTTGGTTTATAGAAAAATCATTCAACATGCAATTCATGTGTGTACACACCACCCTTTCTTTTATATACGAGAGAGAGAAGAGAGAGAGAAGTAAAAAAAAAAAAAAAAGAAAAAAAAAAGAAAAACAAAACAATGCCTATGATAAATATAAAACATTATGCGGCAACACAATACAGTTGCAGTAAGTGTAGAAGTAGAATAGAATTGATTGTATCTGCACACTAAAGTCTGCAGTGAAAATTTAAATATTTTACTGAGAACAGTTTTAAGTACAGAAAAAATTTGAACATTTTAAGAAATAGATGAAGACTTACCAGACTGAGAGGAAAGTATATGGAAAAATAAATGAAAGATAAAATATTAAACATCAACTTGTGTCCAGACATATATATATATATATATATATATATATATATATATATATATAAAAAGGGGGTGTCTCTTTAATTTTAACCTAATCAAAGCTTTGAAAAACAAGTGTTTGAGAATGTAGTGATAGCATTAGTATTTTATTTTGAAAAGAAAGGAGGGAAAAAACACTAACAATGCAAGTCTGAAATAACTAAACAAAGACATGCACATTTCTATTACAACATTTTGTTGGAGAAAATTCAGTACAATTTCACTTTGTCAATATTCCTTTCTATATTACACAATACATACAAATACCAGTTGAATGTTGTAACTTAACTTTCTCATAACCTTCATATTCAGTAACAATTATCCAACTGATACTTCCTTCTGTGTATATGAACACAAAACAAATACTATATAAATATATCTTATAATCACAAGTGACAATAGCCACTGGCTAAGCTACGGGTGCATAAGCATATATAAAACACATTAAGTGTACCCGGCACATAAGTGTTAAACAACATTAAGCACAAAAGGTACCAAACACGTAAACTACAAAGGAGATGGACACAGTGTGATACTAACAAAATAACAAAAACAAAAACCTACCTTGCTTTGATTGCTAATAGAGGTACATGATCTTTTAACCAGTCCATAATGTGAGCACGCTTGTTCAGTTCAGTTCAGCCCATACTAAACAAGGAAGCCAGAAAATAGTTGTGAGTAATCCTATTGCTAAATTATGGGATGGTGGTGGTGGCACTTTTGGAGTTGTAGGATGAGGAAGAATAAGAGTGATAAAGAAAAAAAAAAATAAGGAAAAGCATGTAAAAAAAGAAAGAAGTGTTTCAGCAAATAAAGAAAAGGAAGAAAGGCATAATGCAAAGATAAAAATGATGTGATGAAAACTAAGTGAGGGATGAAGATAAAGAATAAACAAAGTTAGAAGGAGGAGGTGGAGGAGATTCTGAGTAGAGCCAGCTAAGGTTCAAATATACTTGTCCTTACTTCAGTACGGCTAGCCAGTCAGATGCTGAACGCTCAAGTGGAAAGAGAGAAAGAGGGTCTAAGAGATGAATAAAGCTCCAAAGAGGTGACAGTGACCGGAATATCTGCAGCAGACTAGGGATGTACAAACCCCTCCCAATCTGTTTTGGTGCCATGTAAGTCTGTTAAAATCCATCATGACGTGACTTAGTAGTGATCGAAGAGATAAAGGCTATGGTAGCCAATTATAAGATTCATGTGCACTTTTACTACAAGGTGAGAGAGAAACATGAGAAGGAAAGGCAGTATGAGAAAGCAGTAGATTAGTGGAATTTTTTGTTTTAGGAAAAAAAATCTTGAAATTAAAAGAAAATTCTATGTAATAAATGTTTAAAAATATTTACCCCAAAAAATTAATTAAAAAACAAAATATACATCAAAAGACATCAAAAACATCTAAATACATGAAAACAATTCTTTCATTATCATTGATTTTTAGAGGCAATTTTCTTTGTGCTTATCAAGTAAGAGATTATTTTGATTAGATATAGATTCATATTTTCATACCTTTTTCTGATATTGAAACTGTTCAAAAAGCAAAAACTTTCATTTTCATTCACAAACTTCTGGATCATGAAGTTAACATATATATAGAAAGAGGGGGATTCAAATAATATATACAAAAAAATTTCAAAACTCATAGCTATCTTGAAATATTTACATAGTTAATGCTAAAATAGCTTTCATCATATTCATGAGTAAAAAAAAATCTTGAGAAATACCTTTTTAAATAAGAAAAAGCAAAAGAATCCTTTTTATTGTAATGTGATGAGATAAAAAAAAAAAAACTAAAACAATATAGTCAGGTTCAGAATATTGAAAAAAAAAAAAAAAAAAAAAAAAAGCTAAGCTAATGCAAAATGACATTTGTCACAAATGAGTATTTGAAGCATACAAGTTCCACGCGGTGTTAAAAACAGCTCAAATATATATTCATTTTTGAAGATATGTGGTATAGCTCCAGAAGGTACAGGTTTTCAGAAAGATGATTTTTATGTGCAAAAATACCATCACATTTAGCAAGGAAAATTAATGAATATTTTAATAAAATTGGCTTCAAAGACATTTGTTTGATGAAGTTAGTTTGTTTGCCTAACCGTAACCCAACTGAAAACTTGTGGAACATTCTGAAGAGGAAGGTTTACATTGACTGGTAGCAATTTACCAGCAAAAATTAACTTTAGATTACTGTTCTGGATGTCATACAATGTTTTATATAAAGAATATATAACTGCTTTCAAAATCAATGGATAACTTAAAACCTTTTCAGAACATGAAACATATATAACTGTTTCATAATTTCAATTTGTTTGAAACATTTGTGATTGTAAACTTGATGCAGGTTCTGTAAATGTAATTTTAGCATAATGTTTAAGTTTCAGTAACCTGACTAATAATGTAAATCTTAGAAAATCTGGTAAAATTGTAAAACTGACATATTGTCAGCTTTAATTTATTTATAGATAATATATATCATGAAATACCCTGAATGATAATAGTGCAAATCCCTTCACTGGGTTTTCTAAATTATGAAAAATTAAAAGTGGCTAATAGTGAGAACTACATTGTATAAACAGTTTTCCTATATAGCTACAACCTATAAGATACAATAGCAATCTTTACAAGCCATAGTAATGATTTTTGTTCCCTCTTTTGCATTATCAATATCAACTATTGGCTTTTCACAAAATTGATTGATGGTTACAGTTGCCTTGGAACATTAACCAATTCCCTTTGCTAATAACTATTACATGCTTCACTTTAAATTGTTCTCAAATTCTCCATAAGCCAAATAAACCTTTTTTTGCAGTATATTCTCTATACTGTATTCAATTCATATTTTGTCAACAACATCCATAATTGATTTCCTATATTTTTGCTTCGCCTTCTGCTATAACAATCATTTTGCTCATAAGTGACAGATGTTATTTTTCACACCTTGGTTATTTTAGGGTTAAATGATGAAACCAATGAAATATACAAATTCAAGACACAAATAGACAAATATAGCAGTGTAAGTATGGAAAGTTTAGTATATACATTTTTATATAATATCAATATGTAAGCACTGATACCATGGTACAAAAATGCATACACATTAAACTCATACAGATTTAGTAAAGAGAAAGAGAATATGATAAATTGGTTGTAGGAATTGTATAGTCTGATTAAATAGGCAAGATGGCATAAGAGAGAAAGATTTCATAGTTAATTGAATTGCATAGCTTCCTGATGTTGATAATGGATTTTAATCTCTCATCAAGTCACTAATGAAAACAAAAGTGGCATTTTTATTTATTTATATAGTTTAATAATAATAATAAAACTGAGAAAATGGAATCTTTTTTTCAGGTTAGAACTTCTACCAAAAAATGCTCAATAGATAAGTAGAGCTAAAATAAACAATAAATAAACATTCATGCAACTTATCTGGTTAGCTGACTAAAAAGAGTTTTGCATTGAAATGCTCATCAGGAAAAGATGTCTGATAAATCAAATTCATTATAGATTGAGAAAACATTTGGCCTTGATCAGCATTTTGATGCAAAACTTTTGAGTCAACTAACCAGATAAGTCATTTGAAGCATTTTATATTAATTGAGAAATTGCAGAGCAAATAACTATTTGCAAGAAGATGCAACAATAGGTACATCCATTTGTTGAAATGCATGCACACAATTTATACTGCTTGATTCACCAGAATAAATATATAGCTTTGATTTTTTTCCTAACAATTTTTAAATTGTTTACTCAGACAAATCAGAGGAAAAAAAAAGGCTTTAAATTATGATTAAATATAAGAATATTTTTTCTTTGATTCATACCAGCAATTTTTTGCTCTACAGTTGACATCAATAAAATACAGAATAAACTTTGGAGACAATATTAAGTGAATTGACCTTTCACGATTAAATAGTATTTGTGAGCATGGACTGGTCGTTTCTTTGTGCTAGCCAATAATCTAAAGTAGGCATCTATATAAACATTAAGTAGATTAATGAGTATGACAGAGTACCAGAGTCAATTTGATGATTTTTTATGGTAAACATTGCATCCTACTAGGATAACTGACCATAAATTTCTTACTGACAAATAATCTAAAATGTTTATAATTTATAAAGTCTGCAATGTTCACATGGAATAAATGTGAATGCAAAAAGAGAGAAACTTATTTCAATGAATACATCTTTTAGATTCACCAGGGTGTATCCTCAGTGATGCTTGTATTGGGTTCATTACAAGTTTTAATGATCCCAGTCACAGAACATCAATGAGAATGTATTCAAACAAATTTGGAAGATGTATTCATTAAAATGAGTTTCTCCCTAACTAATAAAAATATTAGCTAACATTTCTTAAAAGAGCTTGTCCTTTCAATTATACAAATAGGCCACTTTAAAACCCACTTTTTATCAACTAATAAATAAAATCAAGTATTTTATTCAAGGTTCGGAATACTAAGTAATATTTTTTTTAATGAAAAAGCAGTGAGATCATAGTGAACTTGTTTTTACATACATAAAACTTAAGTGCAATACATTTACTGAACTTTCAAGTTCTTTTTAAAGACAATTTTAGGATACTAATTATTAATAGACTAAACTGAAAGTGATCCATTATAATGAAAACTAAAGATTATCTATCCATTTTTATTTCAAACAAATTCATAAGATGCTGGTCAGGTATTTTGACAAATGTCAAATTCATGTCCACAACTATTCACAAGCTGAAAGCTTACTTGTAGCATTTCTGATAGCTATATTGTGAGTGAATACAGTAACACAGTCATTTTTTTTATTTAAATTTGTGACAGGAAGGAGGAGGGTGGTGGTGGTTCTGGGCTAGATAGACAATACTAAACTTATTGTTACCAATGGAAAGTACAGTATTGGATTAATTCTAAAAGTTGTAAACAGAAAATGAAAATATATCAGAGTTAAAAAAGAAAAAAAGAAAAAGAAAGCCAAATACCAAATATAAAAACACTTTAATGAATCATGAAATAATTTTTTTTTTATTTAATGCATATATGTGCATGCACACAAGTAAAAATTCTGTACTTTTTCTGTTGCCATGCTGCATGTGCATATATGAAGAAATATAGTTTTAAGGTGTGCTATATTTATGGGATAAAGTGCTCAATATCAGAGATAGAGTGTATGTAAAATATAAATATAAAAGTGAACATTGAAGTCAACAGGCTGTTTCATGCTAGACAATTGTGTCTAGCATGAAACAGCCTGTCCCCAGAGTGCTGACTTCAATGTCCACTTTTTATATATATATATATATATATATATATATATATATATATATATATACTATATAGTAGAGCCAGCGTTGTTCGGGATGTAACAGTAAGAGATAGATCCAGTATTGACCATCATAAAGATTGAAAAATAAAATTGACAAAGATTATTGCTTAAGGTTGACAGACACGCATGTCTTAATTAGTTTTTTTTTTTTTTTTTTAATTGGTCAAACCCAAACAAAATATTGTTTTCAATCGTTATGAGTCTACCGATTGAATAGAATTTTATTATAAACAATTGTCTTGTAAATGGAATTTTTAAAGCATTCTGAATGTAAAAATAAAAAAAAAAGTGTG